TTCTCCTCACCTTGGGCCCAGAGCAGTGGAGTGGTTCAACTCTGGGTAGCATTTCTTATCCGTCAGGTCAGAGCAATTTAGTTTTGCTAATGCTATTGCTGTCTGAATGTGGCACAGAGGAAAGGCATGCTCCTGTGGGTGCCCCATCCGATGCTGAGGGCCATCCGTGGTGGGAGTTTCCCTGGACAAGTGACAGGAGACAGGTGTGGGGTGCCGTGTCTCCCTCACAGGTTGAGGGTTGGCAACCAGAGTGCAGACCTTGCTGGCCCAGAGAGAGACTCCCCTGCCTGTTTCTGTGCAGACAGTCCCCTGAAGAGAAGGGACCAGCTGTGTGACCCGGGTATTAGGGGCCTTGGGAATCAGCCTCTGTGCTGTCCCCTTCCTGGGATCTGAGTAAAGGTGATGTGGGAAACAGGCTTGGGGACAGGAGTCACTCACAGGCCTGAGTGGGTGGCTTCCTGTTTCAACTCTGTCTTCGGTGCCTTCCTCATCAATGCAAGAATCAGCTACGAGCCACAGGGGCTCAGGAGTCGTCCCATTTATGGCTGTATCAAGAACAAGGGGTCCTTTTCTCTTCTCCATGCCCCGCCCCTTCTCCCCTCCTCCCCACTTACCTGCAGGGGCCCGGGAGGAGGGCAGTGGGATCTCCTCACATGACATCTTTTCGAACTCAGGCTGATGAGATGAAAGCCCACCACAGCACCTACCCCTCTCACAGCCGCTGCAGGTGGCCATGTGGCCCAGGAGGGCCTTTCCCATGGTGGCCCCTGATGCTCCCATGAGCCCCAAAGTCACCATCGTTCTCCCGACTCCTAGAGCCTGGACAGTTTGAGCCACTGTCCCTGAGCACAGCCAAGAGGAAGGAGGGGGCAGAAGGGGGAGGTGCCTGGTGACTGCAGTGATGGAGAAGCTGGACCACAGGGTTCTGGACGTGGCCCGTGTGGCCCTGGCTGAGGAGTGGGCACCTCCTCCTTGGCTGGGCAGGGGAGAGAGCTGGCACCGTGTGCAGGGGCGGAGTCTGTAGGAGTGAGGAGCAGCCTGCTGTCCACAGAGGAGCCTGGACGCCCATCCCGGGGTATGGCCACAGACGGGCAGCTATGGGCCACGCTCTGTCAACAACACTGTCACGTGTGGAAGGTGGCAATCATTCCCTTGGTTGACAAAGAGGAATGGGCCATTTATCGTGTCCTTGACATTGTGCTGAGTTATGTGCTTCAAGCTGAACTTTAATATGTGTTTGTTTTCCAGAGCAAATGGCTCCGTCTACGAGATCCTGCAAGTGGACTTTGGCATCGACAACAGCAGTGGCTTGGCGGGGGCCCAGCAGATCACCTGGCAGGTGGAGTACCCAGCTGAGGACTCCATGAGCGAGCTGGTGGTCTCCGAGATCTTTGTCAGCCAGACGACCTTTGTGGGCATCGTCCCTCTTGCAATGGTGAGCAGCTGGGGCTTCAGGAGAGGTGTTGCTGAGAAGTTCCCTTTGAGTACTTTGATCACTCCAATGTCACGGAGCAGAGTGTCATCTTCTCTCCCATGCACTTGGTGCATGTTGTTTAAATAAGGAAAATATTCTTAAACTGCATTTCATTTACCTGCTTTCCATAATGGCCCCTGGAAGCTGTTTGGGTCTACTGTGTAAACCCTTTTTCATTTGTGGAGACTGTGGGATGGTTTCCTGGGGAGCCCTTGTCCTTTATTGTCTCCATCTGTGTGCATGTCAGGACCCAGTGCTGCGCTGAGGGGAGAGGGTTTTATTGAAATGTATGGGGTGGGGGGAGTGGTGCTGGGGACAGAGCTCTGTGTGCCCAGGAACTAGCCCCTTGTCAATTGGCTTTGCCCTGAGAGTCCCCAGGTGGCCCTGGATTGGCAAACTTTAATGTGCAGATGGACCAAAAGAGCCTTGTTGGGAACTGCCCAGCTGAACTTGGACAGGATCCCAGAGCCGTTAAACTGCCTGTGGTTTTGCTTCACGGGCCTGTAGGTGGCTGGGTTTACTGTGTTTGGCTGAAACTCTGCTCACACCTAAGGCCCAGGGGCCACACCTGAGGATGGAGTCATGGATGATCTTCCAGTTCTGAAGAGGAGGGTGCTGTGGGCCCTCGGGAGGGCCACGTGCTCCATGCTCTTCTGTCCTAGAAATGATCATTTTGCACTGAGTTGACCTTCCTGCTGGGGACCTCACACACAGGTGGTCTGGGGCAACCTGTGGCTGCTTTGATCATCAGTCACTCAGGTTTGAAACCAGAGTTGAGACAACTGCAGCTGAAAACCCTATTAATTAATTAATCTGTGGATTAAGGCCCCCGTCTTGAGATGCTGGCGGGTGCCCTTGGCCTGGAGCACCTGCTCCCTGCATCTCCCTGGGTTGGTTCTTTCTAACTCGGCTGTTAGAGAGGCACCTTCCCCGACCACCTGGGCTTTCGCGGCCCTCCGCCCCCTACCTGCCCTTCTGTTTCCGACCATGTCTTCCCATTTTATGGTCCTCACAGACATTGCCGCTGGCTGATGTTGGAGTTCATCTTGGGACCTTCCCCCTGGAGGGTGGGATCCTGGTCAGTTTCGTCCACCCCTGTCTCCATGACACCTGTAACAATGTGTGGCAGGTTGATGTTTGTTGGGTGAATGAATGAACCCTGTGCTTGAATCCAAGAGACTTTGCTATAAGCACTCCAGCCCTCTTTGGTCAGTGGTGACATTGTCTCTCATTGGGCCACATGACTCAGGGGCTGCGCTGATTGAGATGTCACTCACAGGGTCAGTCTCAGGGTGGGGACACAGCAGAATTGGGGGGAAGAGCTGGCAACAAGTTCATGGTTGTGAATGAAGGGCTGGGTAACAGTGTGTGGCCTGGGGTCAAGATGCAGGTCGGCTGGACAGTATTTTGCCAGGACTGCCGCTCTTCCCAGGGAGCCATCTCTTTCTTGGTGACTGGAACAGAGGCCAGTGAACAGAGCTGGGTGCTGCTCCCTTGGGTGGCTGCCTGCAGCTTGTGTGAGAGGCACTGTCTGTCACCGACTGCTTTCCTGTTTCCTCCCCGCTGCTGCAGGCTGAGTGTCTCATGTCCCTTAAGGCCACGCTGCTGCAGTGTGCTCTGCATCTCTGTGGCCATGAGCGCCCCCACCTGGCTGACCTTCACTCAGGGGCACTTATGGTGTAGCCATCTGCACTTGGGAGTACTGGGGAGGGAGGGCAGTGGTGTTGGGTGTGACCATGCAGCTCTCAGTCACTGTTTAGTGAGGCTTCCAAGCAAGTGCTCAGGACCCAAGTCGTTCAGTGGAGTTTCCTGAGGACTGAATGAGATGCCACAGGCAGTCTTTGGACACTGGCCTGGCACATTGCATGCACTTCATAATATTTAGTTTTTATATTTTCATCCTATTATTGTCATCGCATTATCTAGCCACATGTTTGGGTCACTGTCAAACTTTGGGAGAAGGCTAAACAGAAGTTCTACCTCAGGCTAGGTAATGGGCTGTCCAGGAGGAAAGAAGGAGTCCCATTGCTGAGACAGACACAGCCATAGGACAGGTGGCTGGAGAGAGAGAGGGAGAGTCACATGGGGCATGTGACTCTCCCTGCTGTCAGGGAGAGTCCTGGGAGAAAGGGGAGGGGCCTTCTGTGCATTCTTGAAGGCAGATGGGTGTAACTGGGCGGAAAGGAAGGGAGCGCTGGCCAGAGGAGCAGAGAATGTGGTGAGCGGAGCGTGAGGGCCTGGGAGCTCAGGGACACAGGTGGCCGGTGTGGCTGCTGAGTGGATGTGGGGAAGGTGGGGCAGGGAGTGGGGAGGAGGCTGCAGCCCAGGGGTCTACTTCCTAGGATATCAGATCTCTGTCCAGGGACATTCCTTAATCATTAGTTTGGATGACTGATTGTGGATGCAGTGATGTATTTGGTCCATGGGTGCTCAGCAGAGTCCCGTATGCTTGGTTTGAATGTGTTACTCCAGAATTCGAGTTGAAATGTGGCAATCCCACTGGTAGTGTTAAGGGGTGATTTAGGGCAGTGATTAAGTTGTGAGGTCCGTGCCCCATGAAAGGGTTGTTCTTTCTGAAAAGGCCAGGGGGAACTTGGCATGAGCCCTTTCGCCTTTGCATCTCTTCCACCTTGGGAGGACAGTGTTCCTTCCTTCAAAGGATCTAGCAGCACAGTGCCATCTTGGCAGCAAAGAGACCAGATCTTCTCCAGATACCAAACCTGGCAGCACCTAGATCCTGGGCCTCCCACCTCCAGAGCTAGAAGGAAACAAATTGCTTGTAAATGACCTGGTCTCAGGAATTCTGATGTAGTAGCACAAATGGACCAAGATACCTGTCGAGCCCTAAGCCTTGAGTTAGGTTACGATCAGGCAGAATTAGTAATGACTAATCATCAACAGCAGCTGTCAATAAGGCAGCCATGTTTCTTGCCTTCTTGAAGTGCCATAGATACCCTCACCAGATTCAGCTGTGTGAGGAGATGTAGCTGTGGCCCCCATGAGAGGCACTCTGGGTATGACAGACAGACATGGAGAAAGAGCCTGGCTTATTGATGTCACCACAGGAGGCTAAGCTGAGCCATCAAGAGCCTCCCCACTCCAATCATCTAGTCTTGTGAAGCAACAAATGTTCCACCTCAAACCCACTAATACTGGCCCTCCACCTTTCCATCCATCCATCCACCCATCCACCCATCCACCCATCCATCCACCTATCCATCCATTCAGTCATCCATCTACCTATCCATCTATTCACCCATCCATCCATTCATCCACCATTCATTCATCCACCCATCCATCTACCTATCTATTCATCCACCATCCATCCATCCACTCATGCATCCATCTGTCCATCTACCCATCTCTCATCCACCCTTCTATCCATCCAATTGCTCACTATGCAACTATCATTAATTTAGCATAAACTATGTGCCAGATTTTCACTTTTTGGTACATGGAAAGAGAAAATGGAATAGATAGAAATTTTGGAGTTGTGAAGCAACAAATGTTGAAATTCCTGGGCCACGGAAGCCATTTGTGTCTGATAGTTTCATTTGTAGAAGAGAAGTGTAGGGTCAAAACCCCAAGGCCCTCTTTACAAGGTGGTCTGAAGAGAGCATGCAGCCCTGGGGACTGCCCTTCCTTGGGTGTCATCTCTGCTGTCTCCGAAGTGGGGGAAGGCTAACTAGGGGCTCTGTTTCTTCCCTTCCCTTTCTTCCCCTCTGAAAACACACGTTTTCTTTTCCCTTCCACAGTGTTCCTTTTCTTGGGTCTTCTGTCTAGTTACTGAGCTTTGAGCATGGAGATTTGTTCCTCTGGGTGGTGTGGAGTTTAGGATGGCAGCCCACCATTCAACCTCAGTTTTTAAAACTAAAAAGCCCAGCTCTGCACATGCAGATAAAAAACACATTATCTTTCAAAAAGGTTGGAATCAAAAAATGAACACACTTGGTGAGTTTCTAGGCAACTGGGAACATGGGCTCAGCCGAGGCTGGAGCGAGAGATAATCAGATGCCTTTTCCTCGCGCTGGCCTGAGACCCCACAGCACGGCCTGGGCACAAATGCTTCTTTATTCCACGCAGTGCTTGTGTGCTGACTCTGCGCCAGGGGCTGTTCCAGGGGATGGTGACCGACAAGGCAGACAGGGACCCCGCTCCTCTGCTCCCTGTCTAGAGGGGCAGAATGATCGACACCATAAATGTGTGTTCTGTCACTCCAGGGGGCACGAGAAGGTGGAGAGACCTGGGGGAGTGGAGGGGGCAGGAAAGCATCTTTTAAACACCTGCATTTGCTCTGAACTAGCCAAGAAGGCAGAGCCAGTTATAGAAGGCTGTAGAGAAAGAGCATTCCATGCAGAGGGAATGGAAAATGTCTTCCCGCAGAACCAGAAGGCCAGGTAGAGGGCAGGGGAGAGGGGCAGGAGCAAGGGGGCGCACTGCAGGGGAAGGCAGGTGGGGTCTGTGGCGCTGGCCTTCTGTTGTCCCAGCACTGTCCTTAGCCGGAGTTTCCTGTTGCTGCTGTACCCAGTTCCTTCCTATCATGTGCTCCTGCATGTCTGTCTGGAGCGGCTCCTCCGGAGCTAAGGTCAAGGTGTCACAGGGCTGTGCTCTTTCTGAGGCTCTGGGGACAATCCATCCTTTGTGTCTCCAGTGTACAGAAGTCACCTGTACCCCTGGGCTCACTTCCATCTCAGTCATAACATCAACCTTTGTCCTCTGTGTCACCTTCTCTGGGTCCAACCCTCTGTCTCCCTCCGAGGACCCCTGTCCCACCTGACAATGCAGGGTCACCTCCCTGTCCCAGGAGCCTTGGCTTGTTGGTATCTGCTAAGTCCCTTTTCCATGGAAGGCAGAATGTTCCAGGTTCTGAGCCTGGCCACAGGGGTCTTTGGGGAGCACTGCTGACCACAGGGGCTTAGGTGTATCATCTCATCAAACCCTCACAGAAGCCAGAGGGATGC